ACGGCAGGATTAGTCTCCAGTGTGATCAGGGAATCAATATTTGCATGGAATTTTAATTCATTCCCGTTGATCTTGGAATGCCTTTTAGATAGTGATTGTCTTCAGGTCTAATGCACGACTAAAAATTCTCATCTCTCGATTCAGTTTACCAAGTTATACAATGCTGATGCCATTGAAGATAGGTAGAGAGGCTTTGAATGCCTTATTAACTTGTGAAGCACTGAGTCACCATAAATTAAATGGATAGAAATTCATTCACAGAAATTACAAGTAAAAACCGGATGGAAGAGTTTCTCAAACTTGAATTGTATCTTCGCGCTGCACGGAGAGAATGAAAGTCATGATCTCTTGACGCCTCTTGATAAGTTTTTGAACTATGTTGCGTTTGGACGCGTCAGAGAATCGAATTAAATTAATCGATTACTCTTATTTAAGCAGGTGTAGGTCAGGATTTATGCTGAATTTAAAAATCAAAAATTACACGTAGTGAAAATTTTCAATGATCATTTATCCCGATGATCGGCTTTCGGGATAATTATATCCGGATTTATTAATATAAATCCTAATTTTCAATAAAGTATCAGCACTCATGGGCTTTGAGCTGAAAGCACAGTATCTGGGCTGATTTTGAGATATTATTTGACCCGGTCACGAGGAAGTTTTTCGTTTTCAATTAATCGGCAGCAAAGTATCTAGTATTATATAAATTATTCTTTTAATCCTGTTTGAGATAAAATAACAGCACTCATGATCTTTGAGCTGAGATTTCTCAGGGCTCTTTGTCGATTGTTAGAAATTATTCGACCTAGCAACCAGGAAGTTTTTTATTTCCAATTAATCGGTAGAACATCATCTAATAGTAAACGCAGTTCATCGAAAGTTTGATAATCGGTTCAAAATCGGAAGATATTCGATTGATCGGTTAAATAAACCACTAATTGATAAATTCTATAGGGAGCGTTAGGTAATAAATTATACGCAATGCACTTTTTCATCATTTTTTACCTCCTCCGCGCCTTAGAGCTCTTTTGTGACTAGGGTCCTCATCCTTTAACACGCAAAAACAAAACGGCGTAATGTCCTCCTCGGCCCCCCTCTCCCACAGAGCGTCCCGCAATTTATGAACGCTCCCATATCGGAGGTCCATAGTTTTCGATGTCCGGCACGTGTTCCCCATGTTACCTTTCTGGCGGTTACCGGGGAGCAAATTAGGGATCGTGATGTATGGCATTGCGCCAACGTTGCAATCCGCGGCGATGTCTTTTCGGCCGCGCTAGGGAAAAACGCCGTATGAACCTTCGAGAGTTGCCAGATTTCCTCGAATAAAAGATGTATTTTTGAGGAAAGTTATGCATATTTTCCCACGAAACTGTAGATTAAAGCGTGAACAAAATTGATTGAAAATTTTGAGGAAAAATATCCACAACTTTCTCAGTGAATTCGGTTTTTCTAGTAGGAAATATGGCAACGTCTGAAAGCTCTTACGGCGTTCTTCCTTAACACGGCAGTTTTAACGTGTGATCATGCGCACTTTCCCACCCGACGCAAAGGATCCGTCACCTTTTTACTTGCTTTTTACAGGCGTGAAAAGAAAGTTGTTACTTGAGATAAATGGTTAAAATTAACAATTTGCGCACCTTTAAAAGCCTGAAATTCACTCTTTACTTCACAATCTGCAGAGAAAAGTGCATCTAAAGCTTCCCACCGCAAATAGTACATGCGTACAGAATGCCTTGTGAAAATTTGAAGCCATGCTGTTGATTTGGTCTTCTTTTAAAAAATCAAATATAAACGAAGATATTGAAACGCAGTGCACCGAGTTATGCATTTTTGCAGTTTTATCGTCGATTTGTTGCTTAGTGGTTGATTCATACCCTGTCTAGGAGCCTATTGGTAGAAACTTAATGTGATACAGATGCATGAGTCACCAAGGTTTCACAACCCCACGCGAAGCTAGAGGCAGATCCAGGAGGTTGCAACACTGACTTTTCTCTGTTTAAATCGTTGTTGAATATTCAGTCTTGTCGGAACACCCTGTGAATAGATTCATTTTGGAAAATTTGCAGGTGTTCGCAGGAAATTTTGTAAATTACATATTTAAAATGAAACTGCTAAGAAAATTGAGCACGAGAATATCCTTGGTTTCTGAATTGAACATTTATTGAAGGTAATATGACAAAATAATCTAATCTGCTAAGATACATGTGTTTAAATGGAGAATGACGTCACAAGGCGGCACATTTTCTCACTTTTAAAGCTATTTTTCTCCAATTTTTCATTCCAAAAAAAAAGTATGAAAAACACTGCGAACTTAGCTCCTTAAGCACTCCCAGATGAAGCAATAAAATATTTGTGTGCAAATTCTCTACGTTTCTCAAATGAAAACGAGCAACGAAACTACTTCCACTCAATAAACTTAATTTGAACGGGAAGTCGTCGGATTAATGGTATTTGAATGCATCCCTGGTTGTCCCTTCCACCCCAGTAACGCACCCGTAACTTACGTTCAAGCCCCCCTCCCTTTCAAAGCTTAAACTATATTATGAATGGCCTCTCACGATTTAGGACTAGAATTTTTCGATACATATTTTAATGGTTCTGCGTGAAATTTTGATGAGGAAACAATTTTAAGTGAAGTTCAACTCTCACCCTGACACGTGGTTCATGAGAAGGATTTTTCGGGAAGTTGGGCAACACGGGAATCGGGATAGAACTGTGCTTTGTCGCGGGGCGGCCAGGCGCACGTCACCTGCTCGCGCATCGGCGCGGCGGCGGGATTCGCGAACGTGGCATCGACCCCTAGTGGCGTGCTTTGCGATACATCGATTGTTCTGCCATTTATATGTACGGAAAAGGATCGATAGACTGGATGTCTCCAACGAACACCATAACAATCGATTCTTTACCATAGCTTCAAATGGGGAGGTATCGAAAATTGACCATTCATGCCTTGCGACTGATTACAAGAAAGGCCAAAAGCGATGCATCCGACCCAGGGGTTTGGGGAACTACGATGTATCGAACAAGGCAGAATTTCGGCAGAGAACGGATCAGAAACACCATGTTGTCGTATTTCAGATAAAATAACGTAATTTATTTTCATGCTCGCAAAATTTCCTCTCGTTTTTAATATTTTTAATGATAGACTGTTGAAAGTTCTCACTGAAACTGCAATTGATTTGTTCCTCTAGTTAAACGCAAAAAGCAGCAAAACTCTGGACAGAAATCAAATGCAGTCATAATCCTGGAAAAAATTACTTTTGTCAATTCTGCAACCTCGGTTGCATGCGGTTGCAGGCATTGCGTTTAGTGCAATGAGAGAAGTATTCAAGCGGGCTTGTAGGCGCTAATATGAGTTTGATGCCAACCGCACTGTTTAGCGCAATGCGCGAAGTATTCCTGCAGTCTTGCAGGCGCTGATATGAATTTGACGCTGGTTTGACGCCGACCGCACCTTGTTTGACGCGATTATTTGAACTCGCGTTAGGATGATTGCGGCTCCAAAGGCCCATGTTGTGCTTCGACGCCGTATGAGCGTTCCAACGTTTCCTCGTTTCTCCCGATAATTTTTTTTTTTTTTTTTTTTTTTTTTTTTTTTTTTGAGAAAGGTTGAGAAAGTTCTCTATGTTCGCTTTTTTAGATTGAATGGACCATTAAATAAGGTACAAATTTAAGCACTCGGATACATGATTCTTTACCATAATTTCACTTCCTCGTAGAACACGATTCGCGTAACGAAAACTACTGAAATCAACTCCTGACTAAGATATTAACGTTTTAATTTTACATTGGTTACGGGAAATTTTAGTTGCCCGGTCACAAGAGACACAATATACTCGTAGCCATAAAAAAAAATCATAATTTTATCCCTCTGAATTTTGCGATTGTTCTCGTCGCAAATGATTCTTCAGACTCATGCGCAGGGGCTATGATATGAAGGTAAAGTCCTAAATAATCTGGAAGGAACAAATCTCTTACGATGAAGATCGACAGCAACTGAACTATAGGTTCATGACGAACCGATCATGTAGGTCTGTCCGCAAGAACCTCAATTGAAATATTATATGGTAAAATATGCCACACAGCGAATCTCAATAATTACACTCCTTAAAGTGTCGCACAGTGGATCGAGTCGATGGGAAAGGTCGAACAAAATTTGGAAACTTCTAACGCTTACAACTTTGTTTATGCACAACTTCGAGGTTCTAAAATTTTCTTATAAAAGTACCCCTTAAAATTTAAAATGTGACGGAATAAACAAAAAAATTTGCAGTTTAAGTAAAAAATTTCATGTCCGACCTCTCTGACTGACTCGATCCACCGTACGACGATTCAAAATGTGCCGTGCTAAGGAAAAATGCCGCATGTGCATTTGAACGTTGCCAGACTATCTTTGATGAAATACACGTATTAATTGAACTTGCGAAAGTTTTTCTTTGAAATGCTTGAAGAATTTGATTGAGACTACATTCCCCTGGATTTAAAACTTTCTCGAATAAATATTTACAACTTTCTTCAAAGGTGAGAATCTATTGAGAATACATTCAGCAACACCGAATATTCACACGGCGCGGCGGCGCGGCGCGGCGTTCCTCCATAGCACGGAAGAAATGTAAACAGTATGTAATTTCACTACTCTCTTAAACTTCTCCCCTGAGGGTGCAAAATATTGTTTCGCGATCGTTTTGGTTTCACTGGTCGAAAAATGCGATCGAAATCCGAAGTTATCAAAAAAGAGAGCATTCATTTCAAAGATGAATAAGATTTGAGGAGGTAACATTCAAGAAGCAGAATTCACATTCATAGCGTTCTGATAGGTAGTTGTTGAAATGTGAAATACTGAAAAATTGAAAAAAAAACAAGAGGTAAGAGATTCAGGGAAACATAAGAAGCACTTTTGGTGGAAAATAAGACAAGAAAATGAACCTTTGGCTAGGCTATTGTGCTCCCCCACCTCTTCGCAATATTCATAACATTTTACTATTTTACTCTTGTTACAGACTGCTCACAATTTCGTCATACCTGACGTACTGTTTGCTCATTTGGATGACAAGATTCGTTGTAATCAAATCCAATGGACTTTCAAATTCCATACTTTATAAAATGAAGAATGCTGACGAATGTACCGAGACGTGCTCCATTCTCCTCACACTAGGTGAAACTAAAAGGTAAGATAAATTTTATTTCATGTAAGAGCAGTGGCATAACAGGCGTACTTCCGCAGATTCTGCTGCAAGGGCGGATCTAGCAATTTGGCAACACTGGTTTTCTTCCATTGGTCCAGTCAATTGGGGATTTTATTATGCAAAACAGTGGTAGCATTTCCCATGTATTCCTGCGTATTTTTTCGCGTAAAATCTGCATACGCGATTTCCACCAAAATTTTGTGCCACTATGTCCCAAAAATAAAATAAAAAACTCAAATTTTGCCCCCAAAATGTACCGCAGATATACCCAAATTATGTTAAATACATTGATTATTTGGACTGCATTTTGCAATTTGGAACTATAAATTCTGGCTCTACTGGAAAAACACATATGTGCATAGAGAAACTAATGGCACATACGTTGATTTTAAACCGGGTCAGAATTTATAGTTCCAAATTGCAAAGCAGTCCATTTGAGGTCTCAATGGTACGTCAAATCATGGAATTTCAAGCGCAGTTTTTATGACGCAATAAGAAATCATAGAAAAATTGAAAATGGCATGTTTTTGATGTAATACATTCAATCAATCAACTGTAATTTTCCCAAGATTTTTCTAAAAGTACTTTGAAATTTTGTTCTTTTCTTCAGTTTATGGAAGCTTAAACCCCTCCCGGCTAAGAACTTGACATTCATCGTTGCTCCTTGCTCATCTAAAGTCTCATGGTCGGTCCGATGGTATCTTCCACAAGAAAACAGTAAGTCCCTAAAAACTATAAAATATTGTATTTAGAATACTCTTTCAAATGAAGCTTTCCCACACGAAGAATCATGGTTGCACATTTAGTTCATTTTAGAAAATGAAAAAACATTTTAAAAATTGTGCTTCTTTAAAATTGTATTCATTCTTGATTTTTTCGAATTTAGTCCCAATCAAAACATATATTTTTACCAATAAAACACAGATGGAATGGAAATAATTCCGTCAATTTTCTCAAGGTTTTCAAGATAAACATGGAGTTTATGTGGAATACATTCTCTTACACCTTGCAACGAGGTATTTCCACGTTATCTGCTCATTTCATCGCATCCGATGGTCAGATAGACAGCAGAGGACAGTTGATCTTCACCAAGATGACCACTTCGATTTGCACTGTCAGAGATATTCGATTTCTTGAAACTCAATACGGTTTCGTTCCGTAAGTGAGGCAGTTTATGTAACATCGCCCTTTCATCACTGCCCATTCATTCTCCTCTTTTTTTAGATTATTTTTCATTAGACGGGTTGCGGTCAGTCCCTGCAGCGATGAGACAAAAACGGGGTAAATTATACGCGGCGGAGTGGCTGGGAATGCATTTTCAACGGAGAACAATGACGAAAAGTGAGCCCTCGGAATGACAAACTGCCCCGGGAGTCCAGAAAAACGGAAGGGAACAAGGGGAGCTTAATTATATGCACGAAGACGCTGAGACAATATCTTATGGCAGCTGGAATAAATTATGGTTTCCAGGCAGCATTTTTCCTAACCGCGTCTTCGGTCTCCTGTCTGGAGAGTCCTTAGATTTAGGGAGTCAGTATTAGATGTAAAGAGCAACCGAAATAATAATAGATTCTATCAGCTAGCTCTGTCCGCGCGCGGGGTGACTAAAAACACTTTTTCTTTTTCTTTTTTCTTTTTTTTTATTTATTTATTTTTATTTGCCCCGTACTGAGAGACAAAATTAGGTTATACATACCGTGAAGCACCGAATGGTTTGGGAATATGCGGTGCGGTCCGCCCAACCGAACATTGATAACGATCAATTCGGTGCTCAGTAACCGATTGTATTGGCTCTCGGTAAATAAACCATTCAGCACTAAAGTCTTGAAGTTATGTATTTCTGGTATTTTGGCACCAAAGGTTAATTTCAATAATATTCCATCATGCAAACCGAACTTCATTGTTCCATTCAGGCGAACTAATGGAGAAGAGGTTGGACTAAAACTCATAGAAAATGGGTGCCTCTTAGGATATTTAACGCTGAAATCTTTCCTGGTCTCAAACACATCGAATTTTAAATCTTCAAGTCCTAGAAGTGGTGAGGGGGGGGGGGGTTAGGATACGCCCATAGGCACACGCATTGTTTTCCCTCAGCAAGGTAACATTGGGCCGCAGTAGCGATTCTTGCAAGTTGGCAACACTATTTTACCTCCATTTACATCCATTGAAAATATCGATTTTAGGTGCATGAATCGATTGTTTTATATACATTTAAATGGAGCATTAGCGGATCCAGCAAATTGGCAACATTGTTTTT